TAAAACTTGTTTCATAATATGTATTGTTTTAGATTTTTAATGCAGATGTTTGATAAAAATTTCAGTTTTATTATTACTATTTTAATGTATTGACTAACGAAAATAAAAAAATATAGATTAATAAAAACTATATTGAAACTTTAATTATTTTCTTTATTTGTGTAAAAAACTTCATGGATTCCAAATAATTGTTCCCCTCTCGTAAAGATATACAAGTAGTATATGCTTTTTTTTTTTTTTTTTTTTTTTTTTTTTTTTTTTTTAATTTATATAATAAAATCTACCCAATGGGCTTGGGCTAAAGCCTTACAAAAACGAAATCCAGTTACAAAATTGTCAAAACGAAGAAGATGACCGGAATCGGAAAAAGCTGATCGGACCTCCGCTGATGGACGTAAGCAAAATGACCAGAACCTTAGATCCGGCGGACTCAAGATTCCCAGCTTCTCCACTGCCTCGAAAGATCGACGACCACCACCCGAAGAGGCCGGTTTCGGACAGTAGTCACTTTCCGTCGACGCCGCAGATCCGCTAGAAACCTTCCGGAAAGCTCATCACCTCGACATACGGTTCTACCGGAGTCGGATCCCGACCTAGCAACCCGACCCACTAAGGTCTATCCCAGCTTTTCCCAATTCTAGAATTCTCCGATTGACAACGCAGGGTGACTTCACCGGACCGGAGAACACCATACGTGGCGGATCCAGAGGTTGGTGGCTCACTCAGAGCCTCTGAAGACGAAAATCCACGCAAGCCAAGCAGATCCGGAAGGACTGCCGTTAACCACCGCATCACACAGCTAAACCCACCGTAACGTCACCAACTTCCGCCATAGACACCGCAAAGGAAGAACGGTTGAGCCTTGAGGAACTTCGGAGCCCTCCACGGCGTCCTCAACCGGGAATCACGGCTGCAAAACTCCTCCTCCGTTAAACCAGTGCCGCATCTACATCGGCGACGAAAATCCTCACCACAGCTGACGATGAAGCAACCCTGCGCACTCCTGGATCACAATCAAGAAGACTCCAACCCTTCAATTAAGATCTGAAAGTTGGAAAAAAAAAAAACCCTAGATCTACTTTGTGTGTGTCTGCAGAGAGGAGAGAGAAGAGAGCAAGTTGGAACGATTGTCCTCCTCCATATGTTCTTTGTTATTGTATCTCCCAAGTAGTATATGCTTTCTTATTACTATCCACGCATCTCTATCCGAATTTAAAATTAATGATGTTGATTATAACAAAATTTTTTTTTTTTTGTTTCCACTTAAACGAGTTTTTGAGATGTAACAGTTGATTACTATGCTCAGTTCCCAAAAACATGACCAAACATAATTTTGTCTTTCACGTGATTAATTACTGCTCTAGCCAATAAAATGAATGTCAAATCAGCAAAAACCCAACAATGACGTACACGATTTTCATTTGTTAATGGGTATTCGAACAAAATATGAAAAAGTCCTGATTTTTTACCAATGGGAATGGATGACAACTAAATCTAGTAACCATGATGAATTATCCTACAAGAATTTCTAATGTATGTTTAAAGTAAGTATTACACATAGCGTTGTGCAAGTCTTTGGAACTCCATCAAATATTCTAAAGTAGGCAAGGCAATAACTTGCTAATCACAAACATAATGTTTTCAAATTACGATAATCAGAGAACTAGAATTTGATGTTTATGTGGTCAAATGAATTTTTTGTGCTAATGCTTTATGAGATTTTTTTTTGAAAATTTTAAAATAATTACACATTAGTTATTTTCTTAAAAATTAAAATAATATGAAAACGTATTATGTAAACGCCGACACTAAAACAAATTTTTTTCTTAAAAACAAAACAATTAACACTCTTATAAACCAAATATTTTTCTTATAAAAACGGTTTGTAAATAGTATACTAGCAGATATTTTTTTTTAATCTTCATCTTTATATTTTGAATTAATAAATAAAAATTTTCTCTATACTAATCAATTATATCCGTTACGCCGTAAATACTTTATATTCAACCGTATCAACCAATTTGAACCAAAATCAATACAATAATAACACTAAGGATCTCTCCAAGTTTGACACATCAGTATTTTGGGCTCATCTCAGACTGACACCTCATTAAAATCATCATCCAATAAAAATATTTCAATTAATACACATCACCTCTCTACTTTGCCACATCAGATTTCCAGCATGCCATATCAGCTTTTCATAAAAAAACACATTATTTAAAAAGACAACCAATAAAATTAATACAATCATACACATAATAATTTTACATTTTTTGATAATGATAAATAAATTTCTAATTTGTTTAATAATTCAATATCTACAAAAAATGAAAAAAATACCCTCTTTATTTTTTAAAAAGTTGTTTTATATCAAATGGTTTTTAGAGAACAACATGCATGAAGTGAATTTAACAGGTAGTTTACACCGCGTGTTGTTTTTGTAAATTAATTTTGTTTTAATATAAGTTTTACGGTAAAAATGTAAGAGGTTCTTCAGATATTATTTTACATTTGCTCGTGTTTTAATTGTTTTTATTTTATTAGTTTATATATGCATACACTAATAAATAATTTTTATATCTTACTTTTACAAAAAAATGTACCGTGTAGTTAATATTTGTATTTGTTTTTTATTATTTTATGTTTTTGTATATGTTTAACTTTTTATAAATGTTAGATTTGTTTTTATATTGTGATATATGTAAATATGTTTTAGTGAATATTATACTCCAAAAACCTTAGATTATTTCTGTTAAAATTATTTGTGGTACGCAAGCACTATTAGAATCATAGTTTATTCATAAGAGTTTACGATTGCTAAATTGGTTTACGTTTTTTTTTTTTTTCAATTCAAGAAATTCACAGCAGTAAAGAACATTACACTCTTAGGATTGTAATCTCACACTTGTTCTATTATCCCGTCTTGTTACTTCAAGATGTATGGTCAAACTTGAATCTCTATGTTTCTATTATACATGTATCTTGCTTCACTTGATCATCTGCATATAAAGCGCAAAGCTTTGTTAGTTTCTGTTCATAAATGAAATCCCTAAAGGAAAAAATGGTCAATTTATTCTATTTTCTAACCATAGAAATGTGTAGCCAAGTGAAGTTTGCATTTGCAATTCGACTTATTTTGGATTTATGCTATTTTTGTTGTTTGTAAATTTTGGCTGAAATATCGCAAATGTTATTGATTAATTTAGTTATTATTAGTGATCTATTATATAAAAATATAATTCAGCATAGCAAAAAGTTAAGAATTAACTCTGTATTTGTGGTTTATGTTTTGAATGAAGGTGATCTCATGCTGCCGGCTCAAACGCTTGATCTACTCTATTCCAAGAACATTTAATGGTAAATATAAGTTAAGAGAAAGACAAAGAGAAAGATGGGATTCCTTCTATTTCAACTGAAACATGCTTGGCTGGAAGATCTTTTATTAAGTCAGACTGGTTAGAAGCGCTATAGACTAACCGTTAGAAGTCATTGATAGGGATGTTGAACACTATCAATTACTTCTCTTTAGTACCGGTATAACATCGACTACTAAAAGTAGAAGGGAAGAGAAAGATGGGATTCCCATTCATTTTAAAAACTCATAACAAAGTCTGGTCCATCTTTTTCGATTTCTATATTTTTATGGAATTTTCGTAACTTGTGTTTAATTAACTTTGTCTAATAATTTTCTCAAGAGAGATTGATGTCTCTTGTGGTCGAGAGACTAATTGATTCCAATAGTAAATAATATTATTTTGGTTTTGATTGTTTAAATAAAACAAAATTCAAAAAAATACTCGCAGCGTAGCGCGGGTTTCGACCTAGTACTTTTAAATACATTCAACCATATCAACAATTTTTATCAACCGTAGTTATGACTTACAACTAGCCATAACCCATGTTAAAAAAATCGCTAGGCGCTAGTCGGGCGCTCGGGTCAGGCCTAGCGCCTAGCAAAGAAATCGGAGATTAATCGAGGATTAATCGGGGATTAGTTTTAGGTTTTTTTTTGTGAAAACAATATATAAGTTGTATTTTCGCAAAGGTTGCCATGTTGTAAGCGTGGTCTAGTGGTTTCTGATGTTGATAATACTTCGTGGCGCGGGTTCAAGTCCCGAACTATGCACAATTATTCAGTTTTTTCATTTTTCTTTAATGGAGGGTAAAACTGTAATTTAATATGTCGTCTTCTTCAAAGGGATGCGAGTTTAAAACCCTAATTTGCGGCAGCCATGGATGCGTTCTTACAGAATCAATCATTTTAATGTGTTTTTGTTGTCTTTTATACCAAAAACTTATAGATCTAACACACTAACTCAATCCAAACTTAGAAAAGGAAAAAAAAACTGAATTTTTCTTAACTATTCCGATTATTTGACCGATTATACTATAATCCCGGCGGTAAGGTGCCGCCGAGCGACTAGCCGCCGTGGAATCGGCCGATTTGGCCGAGTTTTTGAACAAGGGCCATAACTAAGCAAATCAATTAAAAAGAAAAAAAAAGTCTTAAACCGAACCTAGCTAATCCAGTCATACTCAAAACTAAAATCCCTAGAAATAAATCATAATATATACTTTCTATTTTTAACCAAAACCAAATCACATTTAAAAAGAGAAATAAAACTATCATATATCATTATGAGTCACCCAAAAACCTTTTAAAAATCTCATTTTCCGCTTGATATTTAATTTCAATACAATACTAAAACTAAAATAATAGTTTGAATTAAAAATAAAAATTTGCCTGACAATTATCATAAGGTTACAATAACATTGGCCCTATAAATGAAACAAGGGACCTCTCCAATGGCCCCTTCTCTCGTCCTTCTTCTTCTTCTGTCTAACAATACACTACCACACACTTTCACGCTCTCTTCTCTCACACCTTTCTTCTTCCTCACCAAATTCTTCTTTCTCTCTATGTTCTTCATCTTCTTCTAACTCTCTCTTCCTCTCTTCTCGCCATAGCTTCACCTTCCTTCTCACGCTGTACAGTTAAAGCTTAAGGTACCCAAACCTTCTCTCTCTCGCTCTCTCTCTCCACTTCCATGTATTTGATCAATTTTCTTAGATCGACGATTCTAGATCCTTCAGATCTGTAAATCTCCTTTCGAATTTGGTTTCGTGTTCACTAATTCTCTACAAAATCGACGGATCTGTTCTCGATTCATTGTATCATCGTTTAGATCTTGTTTTGTGCTCAGATCTAATTTCAAATTTTTTCATGTGAACAGGTTTTTCTTTCATTAATATTTGAATTCGAACGAAAAAGATGAATCACTTTGCGGTTCAACCAAACGCTTTCGCTGCCGGCGGAGATTTGAGAAGCAGCTCCGTTTCTGTTGTTGAAAGAGATCAAACCACCGTCGTTTGTCCAAAACCACGTCGTATTGGTCTCCGTAACAACCACCATCCTTCTCGATCTCTCCGATGTTACTTCAGGTATGAAATCACTCACTCGTTAAATTCTCAATCTCATGAATTTCGTTTGACTGAGAATTTGTAATTGTGATTTGTTTCAGTCACCAATTGGAGCTATGTGAATCCAAAGCAGAGACTGATATTTTAGATATCATACTCACCAAGGTATTTTTTTATTTTGTTTGTTCTCTCTTGTTTTGGTTTGGTAGGTGAAATTTGTTTATCAGAAACTTAGTTGCGTTTTTGGTGAGGATCTTTAATCAAGAAACCAATAAAATTCAGTAGCAAGTCGGTTTCTTCTAAAGATTATTTTATTTTCTTATAAAAAGAGTAATCGTGTACGATTCTTGATTATAAAAAAACATGTGATTAAGACTTTGTCGATAAACTTTAGGATTAAGACGTCTTCGAGTAAACTCATTACAGCACATAGATTGGGCCAAATCTCTAACCATTTAAATAAATATCTGTCCTTTCTTTAAACCATTTAGCCAACTTGATTTAGTCATCAAGAAACTGTATTTTTATATTGATGATGGGTTTTGATGTTGTTTGTTTATAGGATGGTTATGGTGCAGAACAAGTTCATAAGCAGGTAATAGACTCGCCGTCCCCGTTTTTATGTGGGTCGCCGCCGAGTAGAGTCGCTAACCCAATAACACAGGATGCTCGATTTCGAGATGAGATTGTGTCGGTTTCTTCAGTGATTCCGCCTCAGTTGGGTTTACCTCCTTCATCATCTCCTTCTTCTTCCTCTGGGAGGAAAGGAGGATGTGTTGTTAGAGGCAATTTTGGTAACAGCCCAAAGGTTAGGATCGAAGGGTTTGATTGTCTTGACAGGGATAGCAGAAACTGCAGCATCCCTGCCTTGGCTTAGAAACTGAACCCGAACGAACCCTTTTAGGATTTTCATACATACTCTTTTGAGTTAACTCACAAGAACCCAATTAGTGCGTCGTAAATATAAGTGTTAAGGAGATTGAGCTGTGTGGGAAATCTTGAGGGGAATGAGTAAAAAGAGATCGATCGATCCGTTGGTGTTTGCTTTTTCGTTTTTTTCAAGAGTGTAAATAGGTAACGGAGCAATTTTCTGGGTTAAGTTTTTAAGTATCTAGTGTTCTTGTGGTCATTTTGTAAGTATTAAGGTAAAAATAAAAGAGTTAGGTTTTGGAGGAATATTAAATATTTGGGGAGGTCAGGTTTCTTTGTATGGTTTATTTGTGTAAAGTAAAGAAAGAGATTTGGACCTAATCAGAGTGAGAGAGAGATAGGAAAAAAAGAAGGGTATTTTGGATATTTTCATTTAGTTTTTTTTTTGAGAGAGATGAGGAAAAAAATTTGTACAAAAAGAAATTCAAATGATATTTACTTTGAAAGCAGCGAATCTGTTGTTTCTGTATTTTTGAGAAAGAGATGATGTAATGAGTAAAAAGCTGTGAACCTGAGAAGTGCCATGTGTTTCACAAAGGTTGGAGACTCATTCAAAATATCTGGTTGGTTTAATTATTACTTTTGTATGAAAATCTTCACCTTCCATAAAACAATCTTGCATCTTCTTACAATTAGTGAATTAAGGAAGCTGGAATATGCAACAAAATTAGGAGTTAAGACTGATTTAATCATTCGAAAAGAGTTGTTGTAACTTGTAAAAATAGAAAATTGATCCAAAAATAAAAACTTATATAAAATATCAAGATCTATTCGGTTATCATGTAACTTGAAAGTGTTAAAAAGTAAAATGAAAATGTGTGAATATATTCGTGATAAGATAAAGTGTTTTTTCTTATAAAAATAAAAAAAAATGAAAAATAAGGGAAGAGGAAAAGGAGAGGCAGAAATGAGAAAGAACATGCGGTCTGAGCGCATCTTCAACGCTTTTGGTTGCAAGAATATCGTCAGATCTGTGAAAGTCTGACACTCTGCTCTACTTGCTCCATCTCTTTTAATTTTTTTCCCTTTATTTTTATTCTTTACAAATCAACTTTATTTTTATATATATATTGGTTTGATTCTTGTATTAGTTCTCAGAAGATAGGAAAAAAAATTACAAGAATTTGAATTCATGTATTAAAGTCATATGAAAACATGGAGAAAAAAGAAAATTAAACCATTTTTTATATAAAAATTTACAACTATGATAGTTTTTTTTTTGGTAAGCACTATGATAGTTTATTTCACAGGTAACATATTTTTAACAATATACTGTATATTTACATATAAAGGTACCAGCCAAAAAAATAAACTGTGGCTTACTTCAGCAAATAACTTCTAGAGATAAAAATTAGTTTGAATGTGAAATTGTTTCAAGTGTTTGGTATTTTATTTTTGTCATCTTAAATAATCAATAAATAATGTTCAAAAGAAAGAATCATACAAAAACCTATAATAAAATTACTCATTTACACAAGTAAGAAAAGAGATCTTTCACCCAATCAGGATAATTGCCTCCACACCTAGAGTTACATTTTTGAACGATTAAAATAAGGTGTTCCTTTCTTAGTGATTGAGGATTTGATACTCTGCATTTTCCTATATGTTGAAGAATGAAGATCCTTCAAAGTAGTCCACGGACCACAAAATCACATATGGGATTTGAAGACTGTCACATATTCTCAAAAACCCATTAGAAGCTTTTCACTTCCCCATGACCGCATCTATATCACTACCAATAAAATTTCTACGTATGTAAAGAAAATTTCTACGATAGTCTCTAATAGTAACAACCTAGGCAGTTGTAATCATTCATACTTTAATAATTGTCTTATTAAAAAAGAAAAAACACGAAGCAATAGGTTCGTAAAAAAATAAAACACAAAGCGAGAGGATCGTGGTAGTTTGAAGAAGAGAGTTATCAACTTTATGATATTTCTACGTGTGTCAAAACAAAATTGATCTCTACATAAATATCTATATTATTATTATATTTTGTAGTTAAGAGTTGACAAAGTAAATACATGCATGTTAGTATGTTACATTAAAAATAACATATCATTAATTACTTTTATAAATAAAGTTTGGGAGACGCGAAAGGATGTGTAGTAAATAGCGGAAAAATGTGGAGCGCCGATAAAACTGACCAAAGAGAAAGGTCACTGGGAAGTAACGGTAGTTAGTAGTTTGGTTTCGAGAATTGTGCACCCATTCTCACATGACATTGGTCTCCCTCTTTCTTCCTACTTCCTCCGATTTCTTATTACAATTATCATATTTTTATGTCCTTCAAAATTGTGAACAAACAACCTTAGAATTGTAATAGAGCCAACATAAAAAAAAAAAACTTTAGTAAATCGCTTTACAAAAAGTTTAAGAGTACCAAAAAAGCTGCAAAATTTATACGAAGTGCAATTTGATTACTAGTAAGTAGTAACCAAAACTATTATATATATAATTAATCGATCAAATCGTTTAACCTTTGAGATTTTAAATGTGTATAACTAAAATTTTAGATGATCACTATATTATTCTGGGACCAACAATTCTAAACCTGCTAAAACGAGAATTTTTATTAATCAAGAAAATTGTTTTTTTCCAATTATTTTATTGCTAAATGGAGTATTTGTTTCTCTCTCTTATCTACTCTAATGTCTAATCATTCTGTAATCGCTTATGATAATTTTTTCGTTAAATCACTTTTACTGTTTTATGCCACTAATCGGATCCCATGGATTCTTCACTAGGAGATTTTGTAAAATGTAAAAGAGTTGGCAAAATGTTTATGAATCATTGAATCATATGGGCCTAAAGTCTACGTGGGCTATGAGGTAAGATTCTAAATTATCAATTACATGGTAGATATATCCGTCGCCCATTTAAGATTGGTACCGTTATAGGCCATTGAAAAACGTGTTGGTGTTAGAAAAACAAATACTGAGGGATTATTAATGGTTTCACATGATATCCACGGACCACGATGATACTGTTCGAATCAGCTATACACAAGTTTTAGTATTTACTCCTATGTGATATTCTTTACTATCTATTATACGCTCTAGATAGAGATGATCTTTATTTGCTTTAAAGTTTGGATAATGTTGGAGATGATAAAACTTGTACGTGGAGAAAATATTAAGTCGGCATCCATGACCAATTTGCTGAATATCTAGATATTTGGAAATTTTAATTTACCTAATCCGTGAAAACAATACGTTTTACTTTTTTACTACGACTTTGAATGGTAATCTATTATTAAAACGGTATAAGGTGTACAGTTTTAACAGATACCAATCACAAAAGCATTAGTAACAGTTTTATTCTCAGTTTTTTTGTACAACTTTTTTGTACAGCTTTTTCTTACAGTTTTGCACTATTCCGGTAAATCTTACAGGTCCAACTAACAGCTAAAAAACTTATACCGCTTTTGGTTACCAATCAGACCCTACATGTATGTAGGACTTTAATCTTCCTAATGCATGTTAATTGAAGTGGTGTAAATTTGACTAGGATTCGGGTATGTGTTAACTTTTAAATGCTACGTATTATTTTAAATTTTCAAACTATGTAGTTTTATTTGTTGTTTAACGATTGACAAATAGTTACACTAAAATTCTAGACAAAAGTTTTTAATGAGATGGAAGTTTAGTGGATAAATATCTAAAATTAAACATTATTAAGAAACCTAAATATTTTAATGCAAAATTGATTTGATTTGATGTTTGTATAAAAGCTCTTTAATTCAAATAATTCTAACGAAAGCTCAAAACAGTCCAACTCAAAACTTTATCGGCCATTTATTAAAAGAAAAAAAAACTATTGAACTAACCCATCTGCAAAACAAAATCGTGGCATGGTGATTGAGAGAAGCAAATGAAAGTAGACGAAGAGAAGGAGGTCCAATTGCCACTTGCCCCTTCCCGATTCCCCACAATATTCAACTTGACCCTTTCATAGTCCTACACGAATTCGTTTTTTTGTTTCACATTATTATTTTTTCTTTTTAGAAAGTTTTTCCTTCTTCTAATCCATTTTTGGTAGTTACACCCCCACTAGAAAAACACATCATGTACATGAGGACATCCCTATCTGTTGTTATAGACTTATCGTTAAATAAAGGTTGTCGACCAAATATAAAATTCAATAATAATTGTTTACAATAGGGTTTTCTGTAAAAAAATTTGTAAATCGTTATACTTTACAATTTTATTAATGCTACGTATTATTTTAAATTTCCAAACTATGTAGTTTTATTTGTTGTTACACTAAAATTCTAGACATCATTTTAGATTAGTGGATAAAAATCTAAATTGAAGATTGGGAAAAAACCCGAAAAAATCATGGTTTATTTTTTATTTGGACGTTTAATATCCAATTTTTTTTGCTTGGAAGAAAAAACACATAATAATTAAAATATACGATTTAATATCTATAAAAATAAAATGTTGTTATTTTCTTACTTACGGTTTTATTACAAAAATAAAATTCCAATTTTGCCCTTATAATTAGAATATATCATTAATATTTAAATGACGTGGCAATAATTTTTAATATTATTTGAATAAAAAATAATTTATATTTATATTTCGTTTTACTAAAATTATTTTATTAATTAAAAAAAAACAAATCTGGAAAAGAAAGAGATTTGACAAAAAAACATTATTATTTTTCTTTTTAGAAAGTTTTTCCTTCTTCTAATCCATTTTTGGTAGTTACACCCCCCCCACTAGAAAAACACATCATGTACATGAGGACATCCCTATCTGTTGTTATAGACCTATCGTTAAATAAAGGTTGTCGACCAAATATAAAATTCAATAATAATTGTTTACAATAGGGTTTTCTGTAAAAAAATTTGTAAATCGTTATACTTTACAATTTTATTATTTATCTCTAAATATATACGTTGATTCTGCGAAATCAAAATAATACATAATATAAAATTATATATATATATATATGTATCATCAAAAAAAGAAGTTATATTACATATTACTTTTGATTTCACATAACTGAGCTATATTTTTTGACACATAAAATAAATTTGCAA